ATTATAGAGAAAGTCGATGTAAATGAGGTATAATTAGAAGCATTGGTCATTTTGGTTGGGTTGGTGGATGGGTTAAAGAGGTGCAGTAGTAGTTTTGTCGTCATTCCTTTTTTTGTTTATTTTTATTTTTTGAGTTAAAAGAGGTTCATGTGTGTCACAGTAACAGCCAGCACAATTCTACTGTGTGCTTCTCAGTCCAGGCCCCTCTCTGCCAGCATTTTCTCTTTACTATTTTAAGAAGAGTTTCCATTTACAACACTTTTACAATGCGATTACAAAGAAAATATACTCCTATTTACGATTTTTTGTTTTGGTTTTAACTTCTAAAGACCAAGCCATATGGCTTTGCTTCACACTAACCCTAGCCTTCAGTTCTTGTTATTGCCCCCCATCAAATATTTACAACTCCTCCAAAAAATAAAGCATTAGTTATTGTTCATGGTAAACATTCTGCCATATGCTCCAAAAAAATTTCTTTTCTGAATAACTCTTTTATGTATGTCTCCATTTGGCCCGATTTACACTGATGTATCAGTCATTTCATCACGTGACCATCCATATTTTCCATATATGGCATACTGTTTGTTGTCCATTTCTCGCAATCCATCCCTTCATCTGTTCCTCAATTTTCCTTTTTTTTTTTTTTTCAAATATTTGCATGCTGTTTACCGTCAACAACAGTGACCAATTCCTCTCACGCTGAATTGTAGGCACCTCAATTCTCCTATTTTGACCTTTTAATTTGCACAAACATATTTTTCACTAACAGTAACAATATTTTTTTCTGTTACTGGATGATGCTTTATTAATCCCTCCAGTCATATCCATAACACATAAATTTAAATTTTAGTTTTGGACAATCATTTTAGGTTTAAAAAAAAAACTGTAAAAACCGCAGAGATGATTATTTCACTTTTATAATTGTCGCATTGCAATGATGAATTGATGATCACTACTAATAATTTTCCAGCTTTCGAGGATTCGATATTTTTAAAACTGCATATCTCCCCTTTTGCAAATTCCCAAGGTGGGTGGCCTTTTATGTTTGTTTCCAACTATATTAAAGTTAGTTTAGTTCAACTAAACTTGCGGCTTTATTCAATCATCAGTTCGTGAATGGGGTTTGGTTTATGGAACACAAAAATGATCACCCGTAAAATCAATGAGTTCATCTTTCTAGTCTGTCTTCTTTACTTTTCCTTTTCAATTGCTAGCTGCATCTTGTTATGTCCCGCAATTAAACCTAACCTATCAACCATTTGTTTGCTTAGTTGGCCAGGTTTGCAATGTTTTTTTTTTTTTTGTTCTACAACAGAGTTTTTTTTTTGTTTTTTTTTTCCTGCAATGCATTTTCTTTACTCTCTGTCCCATAATGATGTGTCCAGTTTAGATTTTTATTTTTAAGTACAATTTGTGGATTGAAAATTTTAAACTGGACAATTAATTTAGAATGGAGGAAGTGTATTTTTTTTAATCATAAATTACATGTAATTATATTAGCGAATTTTTTCAGTTTCTTGAATTTATCATGTAGAAAAGAAAAAAGAAAAGAAAAGAAAAGATGGATCTGAAGGCAGAAATCAATCATTCAGGATGTCAATGGCTACGGGATCAAAAAAGGCCGAGCAACCGTCCCATTTCTTCTTAACAGTATCGGGCCATAGCCTGAAATGGAGATTTTGAAAGTGGGAAAATTTGACCAACAATAACTATGTTGTGTTGGGCCTTGATTCAAAAGCCTTAAATGTCATCTCATTTTATTGGGTCTGTCCACTGCCAGGAAATTAGGCAAAGTAGAATAGGTCAAAATTACATACTACATGATCATTAGTTCAAGTGTTTAACGACTTCATTTTAGCATCGGAACATTTGATTCTCATTTCTCGTTACTGTTAAGTGTTAAGATTTGTGCTATTCAAATCCACCCTCTTGTATATTCACATTAAGAAGAAGCACTAGAGCATGAGACGTCTTCGCCGTCAAGTTAATCTCTTCTTCTTAGTTACACATGATCGTCATCAATAAAAAACTTGCTAAGTATACATAATTCTTTTTTAAAAAAAATACACATGGAAGATGGATTATAATTTAACCATCTGTGGCAAGTAATTGCACGCGTATTAGCTAGCAATTAGCATATGCAAACACAGTAACACGTCAATAAAATTAATGCATAAAACGCAGTGTATAATACTTATATAAAATACATATGGAAATAACAGTACACATATGGAATAAAGAGATCGCACATCGATCAAAATTATAACTCCACACGTAGATGCTTACTAACAATATTAATACAACACATACATTAAACAAAGACTCTGATCATGAATCATGATGAAATCTCTCTGAAATTGACGATATATCAAAATCATGAAGTACTCAATACATGACGAGTTGTACGTACGTACGAGTTTACTTAGAAGGTGGGGGAGCGGGTGTAACTCCGGAAGGGAAGTTTGGAATAGAAGGAATCTTTGGGAGTGTAGTCGGGATATTAATATTTGGAAGGTTTGGCATCGGGGGAAGTGATGGAAGCCCTCCCCCCGGTTGCGGAATGGCACCGGTCGGAAGATTAGGGATGGTCGGAATGATACCGGCCGGAATGTTTGGGATGGTTGGCATGGGGAATGATGGTAGGCCGGGTATGGTTGGATTGGTCGGGTTGGATTGTAGGAGTTGGCGAGCCGCCTCGACGCCACCCTTTTGGTTGCCACCGTAGAAGAAGGCAATGATGGCAAGGCAGAAAATGAACGAAAACATATTGATTCTTGCCATTGTTAGTATCAAGCTTCTTGCAAAAGTAATAGTTGACGGGCTATATACGAGACCTAGTTATCGAATAGAATTGATGAGTATATATAATCGATGAATGAAAGGAAATGCAACGGGGGTGCAAGTATTTATAGTGCATGATGTTCGATGGAAATCCCAAGTTAATTAATAGATTAATTAACTAATTTTAATTTGGTCAATCATTTTTTCACCTATAAATAATTTTGGATCTGACTTTTGAATATACGTGGATATGTATTGGTGCTTTGGTGTTGGTAGATTACCTTATTTCTAACAGCATTGTCATGAGTATTTGGTGAACTAAATGAGGTAAAGACTTTTAGCACTTAATTGACACATCCAATTGTAGTATATGTGTTACTTTCTGGCTAATACACAATTATAGTTCGTATTTAAAAATATGTCTGTATCCTTTTTGAAAATATTATTCGAAGGTACCTATTCCATCACTTTGGAAGTTATCCTCTTTACATAATTTTACATGTCATAAAAGTTGGCACAAATATTATCTAGGATGGGCTTAGCTAGAGATATGGTCGTTAAACAACCAATGCCACACACTACGCACATAGATAATTAATCTTAGGATACTAATTAAGACTTTGGTTATTTCCATGTATCTCTATGAGCAGTATCGAGACAAATGTTATTAGGTGCGGTATGCTAATATAGATAAACATCGTACGGACCAAAAATTTAAGTTCTATCACATGCAGATTAGCTTTATCAAATTTGATTAACCTATTTTAATTTTTGTCAATCTAAGAACTGTGTGCTGCGTTCGGACTTCGGAGCCTGATCATTACCATTTTTCCCAACACCAATTGAACAACCCTAATCTAATAAAAGGGCTCACTTTAGGGCATGTACAACAATGGTATAATTGTTGTATCATGTCAGGTTAAAATATTGATGTTGTTGTTGGAGGCTGTAAAAATTTATCAGCTGTGTCAAATATTTTAAGCGTTGAATTTTGACAAGAAGTGGGGCAATGGCGGGGTTCATTACATGTCCATGGCCTCCAAAGACCTTTTCTTTTTCACTGTCTTTTGTTTTTTGCCATTTTCTCCTCTCTCTCTCTCTTTCTCTTTTTTTTTTTTTTTTGTAACTGTAACTTATTTAATTTTTTTCCACAATGAAACAACAATTTTTTCCTTTTCCATTTCTTTCATAATTTTATAATGTACTTTAGAAGTCATATAAACAAAATAATTATGAAAAATAAATTTAATTATTATTACAAGTAAACGTAATTGTTTTTTATAAAAAGTAAAGTATTAATAGTAGCATAGGTGTGGGGTAATAATAGTGGGGTAGTTGTGGACCCAAAATTATATAGGTAGTGAGTGTAATATTGTTGTAGGAAAAAGTGTGTAAAGTAAGAGTGTAGTGGAATGCTGACGTGGCAGTGTAATGTTGTGTTGAATTATATGTATTGTTGTTAATGCTCTTAGTAAGAAAATGTTTCACTGTGTTGGTTGGGACCCACCAGCCGACGAAATGTTTGAAAAGAATATACTCTTACCAGTAATCCATATTAGAATCCATTAATGCTGAGAAAGTAACAGTTCAATTCCCAGAGGAAGAATATATCATTCTGTAAAAAAACATAGTTGATATCGTGTAACCACAACTTTAAGGTATAGTGTATCCAACACGAACTATGAATTTCAAGCTTATCTGCTCATTTTATCGATGTATTAACAACACAACTTCTTTACCTCACGTAGGTGGATCTATTGCGGAAGTAGTATATCCGAATTGAAATGCTTCATACACCGGAAAGTGGAAACTCACTGTCTATCCCTTGTATAGTGTTGCCTTGTATCATCTACATAAGAATCTCATTCCCCCTATATATTATGATCTATACCCATTAAAAGTACAGAAAGAACTGTGTGTCCAATCCAAAACAGATGGGATTTTTTATTCAAACGTTACATTACTATATATATATATATATTATGAGAAGCGACGGAAACATACTGCACTTGTACACAACGGAATCTCAAGACTGGATCTTTCTCTGTTATAAAAAAAAAGAGAAGTGGAAATGTAAAAATACAAGATCTTGAATTCTTGATGTATTTGCAGGGCGGTAATGGGGGGCCACACAAGCAATTATTCCCAGCAAATGCAAAGGCTGGAAACTTGGTCTTGGGGAGCTGACCACACAGATGATTGTAACTGACATTCAGGGCCTAAAGCCCTGAAACTGCGCCGGGAACTTTCTCTTTCACCAAATTCCTCGACAAATCAAGAAATTGGAGGGTTTTTGGTAACCTCAAAGTCCCCAAATCAAACTGCAGTTTATCCCCCAAGGCATAGAACCCCACCAGGTAGTCTGTATTGTTAAGAATGTTGAATGGACTTCCCGTGATTTCATTGTCGGAGAAATCGATGTAGTCGTAGAAGTAGGTTTCTGATGGTTTCCAGTCGTCCAACTTGAGCTTGAGCCCACATTTTGCCAGCTTCAGGGAGTAGATAGTTGGAGAAGAAGTAATCCAGGGCGGAATGTTAACTAAATGGAACTGATTGTAAGAGAGGTCGATGGATTCGATTCCTTTGACGTACAATGTGGGGAATGGATCAACCAGATGGTTGTGAGAAAGATCCAGGTTGAATATCTTGGTTAGATTGACGAATGTTTTGGGCACCGTCCCCGAAAAGTTGTTCCAGGACAAGTCCAATGTGTCCAGGATCCGGAACTTCCCGAGGAAATCAGGGATTTTTCTGGTCAAATGATTGTGGCCTAACGCCAAGTATCGGAGGGTAGGGAAAAGTGTGGATACGCTGGAAGGGATGTTTCCGGTGAGCTTATTCCCACTGAGGTCGAGAATGACGAGGTTCGTAAAAGCGGTGAAAAAATCAGGGATGGTTCCGGTGAGGCGGTTGTGATCCAGGCTGAGTTCGGGCAAGTTTCAGAGTGAACGGATAGAAAGGGGGATGGTGCCGGTGAAAAGGTTATGGCCGAGGTAGAGTCGATCTAACTGAGTTAACTTCTCGATTGAGCTTGGAATCTGGCCAGTGAATCGGTTTCCCTGGAGACCAAGAGCTCGGAGTTGGGTCATGTTGCCAATGGATTCAGGTATAGGACCCGACAGGCGGTTGCCCGTGAGATAAACATAGGCTAATCGAGGTAGACGGAGGAAAAAATCAGGAAGAGGACCAGTTAAGTTGCGGAGATTTATGAGGTGGATGGGTTCGAGATACTGAAGTTTGGTGAGAGAAGGGGAGATGGTACCAGATAAGAAGGAACGGGGATGGTCGGGTTGGCCGTATAAGTAGAAGAAAGTGACCCGATTATTAATGTCAGCACGACAGGAGACACCATTCCAGGTGCAGCAGTCGGTGCTGGAGTTCCAAGTGTGGAGGATGCCGGAAGAGTCGGAGGTGAAACCAAACTTGAAGGCGAGGAGGCTGGCTTGGTCGTCGGGGTGGCATCTGAAGGCGGCCTCGACAGGGAAAGAAAAGGTAGCAATGAGGGTAAGGAGGAGGAAGAATAAGAAGACAGCAAAAGATTTAGTAGTGTAAAAGGAGTGGACAAGAAGTGGCATGGGGGAAGAGGATGCCAACATTCCTGGTTTCTTTCCTTTGTAGCCTGAAGGGATTGGATGATTTTTGTTTCTGTTTCTGTTGCTATTTTTGTTTATGTAGGGATTCATATACTAGTTTCCACTGTTTTTGTTATTCCATCGTGATGATGATTAGGCCCTTCCTTGCTGGTTCTCCTTTCCATACAAGAAATAGATACTCCCTTCGTCCCACAAAAATAGTGCTTATTGAGTTTTGAATTTTGTACAGTTTTTTATTACAAATTTGAAAACTCAATGTAGATTATTTTTTTGGGACATAGGTAGTATATTGGAATGGATTGACTAGAATAAGTCAGCGCATGTGGGTTGAGGAGTCAAAAGTCAAAACTGGAGCGGATTATGGATCCATGCAAGTTCCTACTGTATTAATAAGTCATAAATAATTAACAACTCACATTAATTAGCATCCGAGTATTACTACTTTGCTACCAGAGCAACAAAACCGTCGAAAGGAAGTTTATTCCAATGGACTCCCACCCATCATGAATAATAGTGTGTTCTCCTCATCTATTTCTAAAATTTTCCATTTTTATCACGGGGCCTTTATATCCAAACTAAAGAGAGCTGACTCAGATTGATCAGAAGATTTTCCATTCTATCATTTGATTAGACCCCTAATAAGTACAAATAAAAAAGAAAATAAGTAATTAAGGAATTTCAAAATGCTTTTATCATAGAGAATTTTGAGATCAATACCTATTAAAATTATGAATTGTCTTATAAATAAGATCCGAGGATGAACATCATCTCTCGGATAGTTCAAAGTTCTAAACAAATAAAAAATGAGGGTTCATTAATTGTTTGATGCGTTTAGATTCTGCTGAATTTCTTTTTTGGAATTCAACAGAAAGGTAACTGAAATGCAAGTCAGTTCTTGCACCTGATCAATTTACCGATTGTTCCGAAAGATCTAACAACCTTTGAAAATCAGAAGGTTCTACATTTGATATCTATGTAATGCACAATTGTTAATGGGTTGACCCAATTGACTTGGCTGTAGATATTCCGGCTACCTAATCACTAATCTGTCAAATTGATGGATGCTGCTCAACAAATGTGTTTGAATTTTTTGGAGTACTGAACGAAATAAGCTAAGGGATAAAATGAAACGATTGTGAAGTCCCACAATTAAGGATGGACAATAAACATCTGATAGTAATTCTTATGTCACAACGTTAGTGGCTAGCTAGCTAGCTAATCTCTCAAACGGGTTATCTAAGAAATTGACTTGACTAGGAAAAAGTCTTCCTCCTTTTCCGTCCACTTTACTTTGTAAATGCACCTATAGTTTAATTCTCTTGATTCACATCACGGTTGTTAGAACTGGATTTTCAGTTGATCAACTTCTGTTTGTGAACCCAGCTTTTGTCGCTTTGCAAGCCGCATTTACAAAATCAGCCAAAATTAAACAAATTCCAGCAAGTTTTTTGAAGCCTTTTCTTTTTCCCCTTTTGTTGGACCCGCAGCTTAATGTTTAATCAATGAACAACAGATTTAGCATAAACTTCAAAGAAGAATAAGAACTAGAAGAAGATTACAAAAAAAAAAAAAGGAAATAATAAGAACTAGAAGTAAACAGTTTGAACATTGTGGGATGTAAACAGTTGGAGAAGTTGCCTTTTGGGGTTGAAAACTTGAAGAAGCTGAGATCGTTTTCACTGCTGGACATGTCTGATGAATTCGCGCTCAAAGTGTTGGATTCGGAGTTTCAGGCACTTGCCCGAATCTCGAATGTTCGCATCCAATGCTCCCGCAATGGGAAATGGTATTCTTATTTCCAGTAGTTTACTCTACTTCTTTTTCTTCTTCTTGTCTCATGCCCTGTTTGATAAACCAGTTAAGCACTTAAACTTATTAATTAAGTACTTAATTGATTATCACTGTTTGATAATACACTATCATAACAACTTAATTGCTTAAGAATTTAATTTATTAAGGACTTAAATTTTAAGTGTGTTTAATAACTCAAAGTAGGATGTCTTAATAAATTAAGTGGGTATGAAATACTAGTACAAGTTTGAGCCTAAAAATAAGTGATAGGCCTATCACTTATGTCTGAACTGAATTCTTGAGACGATTTTTTTTTTCTATTTATTTATTTTTATGTTTCTACTTTTAATATTTTATCTTGAAATATTTTTATTAATCATGATGTCTAGTTCTAAATTAAAATTTATGTAAATTATTTTTTATTTAATAAATATTTATTTTTATATAAAAATTAAAATTCATTAAATTCCATGATCGATATATCTTTACCATAAAATATGAATTTTTTTTGACAATGATAAAATATGACATTATTATTAGCTGAAAAAATAATAACATAATAAAATTTAAATATTTTTATTACATTATTTAAAACTAATATTATTATTTTTGTTATCATAGTTTCATATACATCAATTATTTTTTTAGATAAAATTATAAATCGAGATATTTTAAATTTCAGTGTTCAGACTTCAGATTTCAGACATTTTATTCAATGTTTAGATTTTGGTTTTTATCAAACACGACAAACTTAATCAATTCAGTACTTATGATTCAGTCTTCAGATTTCAGACTTCAGACCCAAATTAAGTTTTATCAAACGGGCCCTTAAATACCATCTCCTCACTTATACTAATATCATAATAAATATCTTGAATCATTTGTAATTCTGGTTTCGTATTCCATTATGAAAATAATTACTCCCTCTGTCTTAAAATTATTGTCCAGTTTGAGATTTCACTTTTAGTAAAATTTAAACTAGAAATGAAAATTCAAACTGGACAATAATTATGGGACGGAGGGATTACCATATACTTGGCCTGGAATTTCTTAAACTTTAGATGGCGTGATGTGCATATGTTGAAACTTCAGTTACGAGGAGTTTGGAACTGTGATTAATCTCGCTTATCTCAATATTCCATTGTTACTTTATGTTTTACTCCACCTTAATTTATTTCATCAGCAAGTAGTCAATATTTGCATGCATAAAAAACATATTGAATACAATGAATAAAAGGTAGTATAAAATTTAATATTATATGATATATTGATGAGAAACAAGAGCACAATATCGAATGAAAAGATCTTACATCAATCAAAATGACAAACTAACAACATTAATACAACACAAAAACATTAAACAAAGAAATCTCTCTGAAATAGACGATCCAAATGAAGTACTTCTCCATGCATGACGAATTGTACGTACGAGTTTACTTAGAAGGTGGCGGGGCGGGTAGACCTCCGGAAGGGAAGTTAGGAATAGAAGGAATCTTTGGGATATTTGGAAGGTTTGGCATCGGCGGAAGTGATGGAAGCCCTCCCCCCGGTTGCGGAATGGCACCGGTTGGAAGATTAGGGATGGTCGGAATGATACCGGCCGGAATGTTTGGGATGGTTGGCATGGGAAATGATGGTAGACCGGGTATGGTCGGTATGGTCGGGTTGGACTGTAGGAGTTGGCGAGCCGCCTCGACGCCACCCTTTTGGTTGCCACCGTAGATGAAGGCAATGGTGGCAAGGCATAAAATGCATGAATAGAGATTGATTCTTGCCATTGTTAATAGCTGAAGAGGATGAATTAGCAAAGCTTCTTGAAACAACTAATCGGTTATATGAAGTAATGGGGCTTCCTTTTAATGAGTATAATTGATGAATGCAAGGAAGGTTGAGCGGGTGCAAGTATTTATAGGTGCGGATAAATATCCCCAAATCAAATGTGATGGATCTCCCTTATTAAAAAACTAGGTTCTGGTCAATGATCAATCCACCTATAATTACACTTGGAATTTTGGATATGACTTTTGAGTGATCGATTGGGAAGAAAATTCTCTACACCATTACGTGGGCTGTGTAAATTGGTATTGGTAGATTACCTTATTCCTAACAGCATTGAGGTAAAAGGTCTGTCAGGCAGCCAATTGTAAATTTGTAGTTCACATTAGCTTTGGCAATGTCATCAGTATTGTAAGTTTAATCGCCGGTTAGACTTGAGAGATGGTCGTTAAACAACCAGGGAGTGAGAAAGGCGGTCGTGCCATCATTTAGAGAATTATGGTGGCATGCACCATGACAGCATTAAGAAAGTAACAATAAAAAATTATATAGCCGACTCTTGAACTAAATTTTCACACAAGTAAAAAAAATACTCTATCTGTTTCAAAATTATTGTCCAATTTAGATTTTTCTTTAAATTTTTAATTCAAATTATACTAAATGTAAAATTTCAAATTGGATAATAATGAGAGTATATACTCTATATTTGTCCCAGAATCTCGAATCACACTACATGTGCTCTCCATTCCAAATATTGAAGTTTACCAATACAGAGAAAATATTAATCTTTTACTATGAAAATTAGTTTTGAGGAATGTTCCAGAGTTTGAATTTGACTTGAGAGATCGATGAGTGTTTGTCGAGTTATAAATAAAGTCGATAGTCTGAAGACATTGCTGAGTGAAGATGAAGGGGAGGGTATTCATGGTAGCTTGCGTAAAGCTAATCGGAGTTTGTTCGACAGGAATTAAAAAGTGATAGTGCAGCGTGAGTATAGAGAAGTGGCTGACTTTTAGCTTTCTTTGTGGCATCCGGAACTGGTAGTTTCTATATGATCGTATGACCCTTCATCCTGTTATTAGAACATGACATTATCGTTGTTAATTTTTTTTTAATAAAATGTACTAATGTCATAATTGAAGTTTATGCCTCTTACATTGTAAATAATATATATATATATATTATAAAAAGAGAGAGATAAACATACACGTTTAATTGCCCAAAAAATTCCACAATTTTGGATAGTATATGTGTTTGGTCCAAATTGACTATATTGTAGAGGTCCCATAACTTACAATATTATGTTTCTATTAGTTAACCGTTAAATTGAAACGACCGGAAGGCTACGTGCCCCTAAAGTGATACTACCTCCGTCCCACAAAAATAGTTCATATTGAATTTTTAAATTTGTATTAAAAACAATACAAAATTCAATA